TTGTTGTTGACTGCCATTCCGAAGCGCTCGTATGCGGTTTTGTAAAGGTCCACCGTGTCTTGGAGATGTTCCACTGCCTGACTTGGGAGTTGCATTGTCATCCGCGTATTGCAGTTCACTGACACGTGTTACGGAGGTCTTTGTTTTGGACCTAAGCCGAGCAAGGTTGAACAGACTGCCCTCCAAACGGTACCGTATTTCGGTACCTGGGGATTCATGGGGAATTTTTTTCAGCATAGCAGCAATGTAAAGAGAAAATAGGGTAGGAGCAAGAACACATCCTTGCTTGAGGCCTCCGGTGATAGGGAATGCATCTGACAGGGTACCTTGGTGACATACCCTCCCAGTCATGTCATCGTGGAGGGAGCGGACCAGGGTGATAAAATGGTCAGGGCATCCGTATCGGGTGAGCGTGTCCCACATTGCTCGTCGGGGAACTTTGTCGAAAGCCTTTTGTAGATCCCAAGAAATGAAGGTGAGCGGTTGTTGTTGGTCACGGATTTTCTCTTGGAGCTGGCGGGCACAGAACACCATATCTACTGTTCCTCTGCTTGGGCGGAAGCCACACTGTGATTCAGGTAGGACTTCTTCAGTCACACGGATAAGCCTGTTAAGGAGGATCCGGGCGAATATTTTCCCAGCAATACTGAGAAGGGAGATTCCACGGTAATTGCCGCATAACATCCTGTCGCCTTTCTTGAAGATGGTGATGATGTTTGTGATTCTGAAGTCTTCTGGAACAGTTCCAGTGTCCCAAATGTGGAGAAACAGTGTCTTCAGTTGCTCCTCGGCTTCACGCCCTCCATGTGTTAGGAGTTCAAGAGGGATGTTATCAGGGCCAGGAGCTTTCCCGGTGTTCATGCGTTTTATCGCCTCTGTAATTTCTTGTGTGGTCGGAGGAAGAGACATCCACTGTCGTGTGGGATATTGTGGTGTCTTGTGGAGGAGGTCCTCGGGGGTGATGAAGTTATTATCGAGGAGAGCCTCGAAGTGTTTCTTCTACCGGACAAGAACGTCGTCATGATCAGTCAGGATTGTGGAGCCATCTGTATCCTTAAGCCCACTTACGGAGGATCTTGTTGGTCCGTAAATTTCTTTTGTTGCTGCGTAAAACTGTCGCATGTCGCGTTGGTCGGCAAAACTTTGGATCTTTGCGGCTTTCTTTTGCCACCATTCATTTTGGATTGTACGGAGTCCCTTTTGGCAGTTCTTCAGGGCTTCACAGTATTTCTGTTCATTTCCAGCAGAGGGATGGTTTTCGTTTGCTAGACGGGCTTTGCATTTCCTGTGTATGAGATGGGAGATGGCACAGTCATTTTCGTCGAACCAGTCTTGGTGTTTCCTTTTGGAAAAACCGAGGGTTTCTTCCGCCGCCTTCGTTAAGGCATCATGAAGGCCTATCCATTCGTCATATATGTTGGATTGTTCTGGTAGGGTGCTTAGATGATTACGCACAGCTTCCCGAAACATTTGAGATGTATTGGTGTTTCGAAGCATGGCACAGTTAAAGCGGCGCTGAGGCTTTTGAGTTTTGGGGTTTCTTTGAGGTTTCTTGACTGCAATGCCAAGTTGGGAAATGAGGAGGCGGTGGTCAGTCCAACAATCGTCTGCATCTGGCATGGTGCGTGTTATGTGGACACTTTCCGGTCTTGTGCTCTTGTCAAAATGTAGTCCAATATATACCAATGCTTTGACCTAGGGTGTTTCCATGTTGTCTTCTGTCTGGTGGGGAGACGAAAAAGACTGTTAGTAATAACGAGACTGTTCTCTGCATAAAGTCCCAGTAGTAGTAGGCCATTTGAATTGCAGTTCCCAGTGCCATGGTGTCCAAGAATGCCGTTCCATGTATGGTGATCTCTGCCCACTCTGACGTTGAAGTCCCCATGGGCTAGCAGCTTGTCCCAGGCAGGCACACTGCATATTGTTCTGTTGAGAGTGTCATAGAAGGAGTCTTTGATGATGTCGTCAGAGTCGGAGGTGGGGGAATAGACTGAGATTAGTGTCAGGAACTTTCCCTTGCTAACAGGCATCCTGAGAGTCATGAAGCGCTCGTTGATGGCAGTTGGAAGCAAGTTGTGCTGTTCTACTACTTCCTTGATATTGCCTTCCCCCTCAGCCTGGTCTCGCTTAAGGCTGCTATGTCTATTTTGAAGCGAGCGAGCTCCTTGCAAACCAAGGCAGTTTTCCTCTCCGGGCGATCTGTATGTTTAAAATCCAGTAGAGTCCATACATTCCATGCGGCCACTTTCATGACCTTTGTACCTGTGAGTTTCTTGCTGTTTTTTTGACCGCTTTAGGAGGGTCGTCCACTGGTCGCGGTTAATCAGCCGGACGGTAATACGGTGTCCGATGTATACCCCAACTTTTCTAGAAGCATCCCCGTGCGGGGTGGGCTGCGGGAGTCCTAAATAGGCCAGCCCAGTCACGGGTCCAGCTGCCGAATTCCAGAGTCACCGCGGGTCTCTGGAGAGACGACCATCACGGGCCCGTCGCCAATGTG